TGTTTTTGGCCGCCATAATATTTGCCCGTTATTCGGAGGATAGCCAAAATATTTCAGCTACTGAGACAAGATGCTGTTTATTAGCCAATCTTCCTTGGTGTTCAGATCTTTTAGGAGGTCATATTTATTTTCTTCTTTGACCATGGTATTCTTTCTATAGCATTTCAGCTCAAAAGCTCAGATTTTCTTCTTTAAGGACTGCGAGATAGTACACGACTCCCAAGCTTATATCGCTTAGGGAAAGATGCATACTCTCAAAATGTGACATCGATTTCTTTGCTTGGGCTTAACCGTAGACTTGTAATGCTGTTTAATCTTTGTTTAATCTTTTTCTGTTAATCCATGGCCATCCTCCTTTTAATCTCTGTTGTCAATGATGTGAAAAGCGTTAACAACTTTTACCTGTAGAGTAACAATTTAAATGGCTGATAAAGGTGAGTGTTTCTATACAATAAAAAAAAAAATACATGCATAAATCCTCAGTAATTCACCCGAAGGTTAGAATAGCTATATCAATGGCGATGGAAAAAAGACAGAAGTGTTCGGTTCGGTGTTCGGTTGTTCCAGCACTTCGGGAAAGATGTACTCATCAAGAAACAGGGAACCTACGCAAACAAAAACACGGGTGGTTTCTGGAATCCCGGTCCCCTTACACATTTCTGGGTGGAATTTGGTCCAAAGCCTTGTTTAATTAATAATAATAATAAAATACCTAATAGATAGACAAATACCTAAAAGAAATTATGTACATGATTAGAAGGGCTAAGTGACCCGCTCATACATTTTCTTGTATTGGAAGTGGCTTCAAGGTAGTTGCACCCCTTGGTTCCCGCGCGTTGTTAAGAAGATCGATGCCCGACTTCGCCAGGGTTCCAAGAAATTAAGATGATTAAACCGAAATGCAAATGCGGTCAACGACAGTTTGCTTTACGTGTTCCCCAATCAAAAATGGCTGCCATATAAGCAAAGAAAGCCGTTAACGGGCTTCTCGTCGCTCTGGCAACGGTGCTGACGTGTAATTAAGAGCCCGCAGTTACCATTATATCGGTCGTCTGCCCGAGGTTTCAACCCGCGTTTTAAATTTGGCTGTTAAACGGCTAGACAGGGTTGTCTTTGGAATTGTTAATGCTAGCTTATGAAACTAGAAGAGAGAGAGTAAGATTCTTGCATTCTCTCTCTCTCTCCCTCTCTCCATACACACACACACACACACACACACACAAACACACACACAAACACACGGAGAGAGTGAGAGAAAGAGAGAGAAGCAAACAAGCAAACGCATACATATACAAGCAGCTACACACACTTGGTTCCTTGTGTGACTGGAATAATTTTTCTTGTAGACTATACAACAATTATGTCGGATGCACACGCAACACTCAGGTTCTGAAACAGGACTGCAGTCCAGAAATGGATGAACAATCAGAACTTTCCGCCAGAGTTTACAGCTGCTGAACGCGGAAGAAGAAGAAGAAGAAGAAAAAGAAGAAGAAGAAGAAGAAGAAGAAGAAGAAGAAGAAGAAGAAGAAGAAGAAGAAGAAGAAGAAGAAGAAGAAGAAGAAGAAGAAAGAAGAAGAAGAAGAAGAAGAAGAAGAAGAAGAAGAAGAAGAAGAAGAAGAAGAAGAAGAAGAAGAAGAAGAAGAAGAAGAAGAAGGAAAAGAAGAAGAAAAAGAAGAAGAAGAACTGGAACCATCGGTGCTGAAACTCTTCGGGCTAGTGATACAAAAGACTGAGCACCTGTGGAGATGTCCGGAATGCAGGGGTATATAATCTTTGATTAATTCATTCATTAATTCCATGTTAAATTGTTGTATTTGTGGTCAATATTAATGGGCTCAGCGTAGCGGTAAACGAAAATTAAGGCAATTAATCAGTCAATTAATCAGGTACCGTCTCCACAAGAAATATTGGCTGCAATGGATCTCCCACACATTCACTCTTTTGATCTCTTCATGTAATCCTCCACTTGTATCGCTCTCTGACTCTTGCCCACTGGTCTTCAACTTTTCACCCCAGTATGGTTTCTATAAAAGTGTTGTTTTTTTTTTTTTTAAATAATATGATCGAAATATTTCGATCTTCTTTAAGTGTCTACCAGTAACTCAATTAATTCACAGCGTTTTCGTAATCTATGTTTTGTTTTTGTTTCCATGAAATACCATATATTTTTCTGTATGTCCAACTCTGCAGAGGCGCAATACGATTTTCTAATTGCTAGTTCGTTGCCCGGGTCTCTGTGCCATATAAAAGGGTGTACGTAAAGTTTGACAATTCTAATTTTTTACTGTGTTGTTCATCTCTCAAGATATTAGTAATCTCCACATGTATTTAGAATATTTTAGGCCATTTCTGATTTCTTGTTAACTTCTATTTAAATTCTAGCATCAGCTGCCCAACATAAAAAACACTTTTGGTTTGTCTCCTTTTTTTTTACTTTGCTGTTCATTGTTGGCAGCTCCTTTCCATTGTAAATTATCAGTTTTTTAAACTGTTGTATTTCTAATCCGTACTTTTTTGTACTTTACCTATTTACTTTCTCCACTTGTATAAAATGCTTTCTTTATATAATTTAATGGGGAGGCGACAGCATGCCTTATTGATGTACTCTTATTTATATTTATATGTGATGAGTAAATGTTATCTTGGGCAGTAAATCATAAACATAAAAATACATTCTTTATTGTTATGAGCATGATTTATTTGGCTTTTTTTTTTTTCAAGGCCCAAGACTGTCATTAATATCACCGAGTAATCTAAACAAATCACCCCCCCCCCCACCCCATTTTTTCCACGTGTGTGTATGTGCGTCTCTCTCTCTCTCTCTCTCTCTCTCTCTCTCTCTCTCTCTCTCTCTCTCTCTCTCTCTCTCTCTCTCTGCCGTTATCTCTGTCTAACCCAGTGGTTCTCAACCTTCATAATGCTGTGACCCTTTCATACAGTTCCTCATTTTGTGGCGACACCCAACCATACAATTATTTTCCTCGTTACTTTATAACTTCAATGAATATGTGTTTTGCGATGGTCTTTGGCGACCCCTATGAAAGGGTCACTCGCTCCAACAAAAAGGGTCACGAGAGAACCACTGGTCAACCCTTTCTTTTAGTCTGCATATTACTAGTTAATTCTAAATGAACGAAAGAAGAAGAATAGTTCACGCTCAGCTGTTCTGGTTACTGCGAATGTATGTGTGTGTGTGTGTGTGTGTGTGTGTGTGTGTGTGTGTGTGTGTGTGTGTGAGTGAGTGAGTGTGAGTGAGTGAGTGTGAGTGAGTGAGTGAGTGACTGTGTATGTATCTCTCTCTCTCTCTCTCTCTCTTTATCTCTCTCTCTCTCTCTCATTTGTCTTATGCTACATTGGGTAATGCGGGATAGTGACTATTATTGAACAGTGATAATCAATCCTATCATAGATAAACGCATAAACCTCTAGTGTTAATCTTGTGTGTCTCCCAGGATCCCGTCTAGCAACATCCGAAGTGTTGGTGTTTTTGGATGCTCATTGTGAGTGTAACGTTGGATGGTTGCAGCCACTTCTCTTCAGTCTCTCACAAAATCCGCGGAAGGTAAGAGCAGTTGTGCCAGAACATCGAGAGAAATCAGCTAGCTGTGTTTATTTTTTTCATCTAAACTCAAAATATGTCAGTTTGTGACAAACTAGAAAGCAAATATCGAATGGCATGAAATGATCGATAACTTCTAGCTCTGGTATTATGCTCAAAACGAAGCTGCTTGTGTTTTACTCTTTGTAATGTCCGTGGAAAAGAATTTGGCAGATAGAAAGTTTTAGAAGTAACAGTAAAAGTAGTCGTGGCTGTGGTATTAATAGTATTAGTTGTTGATATTGTAATGGCGTTTGACGAGAAGAAGAGGAGGCAAACAATTAAAAGGGATTAGTAACTGAATTGTGTGATGTTTGATATATTATTACTCTTATTAGACGGGGTACTGTCAGCTCTGTGGCTAAGTCGATGCGAACGTTTTGTAATTCCGGGTTCGATCCCAGCTGCGGGCCATGCGCCTTGCGTTGGTTTCGACAGTGGTACCAAGAAAACAGACCATCCAGAAAGCAATGGCAAACTACTGGACGTAAATTTGCCTAGAAAAACCACACAACAACCAGCTGTTGGGATTGGTTCTGCAACGTCCTGTAAAGGATACGTAACTAACCTTGACTGGGTACTAGGTGCAATGTGACCGTAAATGTTTACAGAATTCAAAACCAAAGAATGGTTTATTTGACCTGATTTGGGGCTAGCTTATGAAATCCAATCTTCTCGGTACTGGCTATTAAATCAACGTCCCCCTACATACTGACATATAAACCATTCCGTGGCAGTTGAGAATCGAAACAGTAGGTCCAATCTACTGACAACTGCCTTAATTATACCACTTCTGCGGTATAGGCGGGGGGGGGGGGGGGGGGGGGGGGGGGGTCTTTGAGCTTGAGGATTAACGGTCGCATGGCTAGTGCTGCCGCCATGACTGTGCAGGTGCGGATTTTATTTTGGCCGCGACAGAAAAAAATCCCTAGCCTTACCGAGGATCCTAACCCGGGTCTCCCGCTTGAGAGCTCATCGCTCTAACCGTTCGGTCAGCCGCTCCTCCGAAAAGACTGCAACCTGGCTAAACTTACATAATTTGAACACCTCACCCCCCCCCTCACCCCCCCCCCCCCCCCCCCAGACACACGGTCCTAATATACACTAGCTTAAAGCTTAGCCTGTAAATCAGAGTTAATGCACTGTGAGGTGCTTCTCCTGGTATCATCTATGGGAGGAGACAAGAGCACTCATGGGAGTTACCTGAGTGTACGTTGAAAGGCATCCTTCACAAACCAAAACATAGGGCTAGCGTCTCTCTAAGAAAAACTTCTATTTAAGCAGCCTTCTAAAAAACAGAAAGCTTAAATAAGCAAGCACGTCGATTTGAGAAGTATTAACACTTGACAAAGTCACACATTGGCATGTTTTTCTCCCTCACCTCAGCACTTCTCTCTGTATGTTTTCTCAGGTGGTGAGCCCATACATCGACACTATCAAATCGGAAAACTTCCAGTACAAGCGGTCCCCTGCCCAGCTACAAGGCGGTTTCACGTGGCGACTGGAGTTTGGCTGGCGAGCTGCCACGGTAGGCAGGGAAACAGTCATGGAAACACAACCTATTCTGTGAGGATTTCTTACACTGTCATCATCTAACTGTTCTATATGTGAACTGTTTTGTAATTGAACTGTTCTGTAAGTGAACTGTTTTGTAAGTGAACTGTTTTGTAAGTGAACTGTTTTGTAAGTTAACTGTTTTGTGAGTGAACTGTTTTGTTAGTGAACTGTTTTGTAAGTGAACTGTTCTGTAAGGGAACTGTTCTGTAACTGAACTGTTCTGTAAGTGAACTGTTCTGTAAGTGAACTGTTCTGTAAGTGAACTGTTTTGTAAGTGAACTGTTTTGTAAGTTAACTGTTTTGTGAGTGAACTGTTTTGTTAGTGAACTGTTTTGTAAGTGAACTGTTCTGTAACTGAACTGTTCTGTAACTGAACTGTTCTGTAAGTGAACTGTTTTGTAAGTGAACTGTTTTGTAAGTGAACTGTTCTGTAAGTGAACTGTTTTGTAAGTGAACTGTTTTGTAAGTGAACTGTTTTGTAAGTGAACTGTTTTGTAAGTGAACTGTTTTGTAAGTGAACTGTTTTGTAAGTGAGCTGTTCTGTAAGTGAACTGTTCTGTAAGTGCACTGTTTTGTAAGTGAACTGTTTTGTAAGTGAGCTGTTCTGTAAGTGAACTGTTTTGTAAGTGAACTGTTCTGTAAGAGAACTGTTTTGTAAGTGAACTGTTCTGTAAGTGAACTGTTCTGTAAGGGAACTGTTCTGTAAGTGAACTGTTCTGTAAGTGAACTGTTCTGTAAGTGAACTGTTCTGTAACTGAACTGTTCTGTAAGTGAACTGTTTTGTAAGTGAACTGTTTTGTAAGTGAACTGTTCTGTAAGTGAACTGTTTTGTAAGTGAACTGTTTTGTAAGTGAACTGTTTTGTAAGTGAACTGTTTTGTAAGTGAACTGTTTTGTAAGTGAACTGTTCTGTAAGTGAACTGTTCTGTAAGTGAACTGTTTTGTAAGTGAACTGTTTTGTAAGTGAGCTGTTCTGTAAGTGAACTGTTTTGTAAGTGAACTGTTCTGTAAGAGAACTGTTTTGTAAGTGAACTGTTCTGTAAGTGAACTGTTCTGTAAGGGAACTGTTCTGTAAGTGAACTGTTCTGTAAATGAACTGTTCTGTAAGTGAACTGTTTTGTAAGTGAACTGTTCTGTAAGTGAACTGTTTTGTAAGTGAACTGTTCTGTAAGAGAACTGTTCTGTAAGGGAACTGTTCTGTAAGTGAACTGTTCTGCAAGTGAACTGTTCTGTAAGTGAACTGTTCTGTAAGTGAACTGTTTTGTAAGTCAACTTTTCTATAAGTGAACTGTTCTTTATATGCATTAACCGGCTTTTCTGTTTTTGTCTACATGTCATTGCCAGATCTTGTCTCGGCTAACGTTCCCGTGTTGGTTGGGGACCCTATTGTTTGGGCGTGCAGTCGAGGTGGGGGGGGGGGGATTCAGGGGAGTAATTGACCCACTGCCTTTTAAGAAGAATGTAATAAAATTACAGTAATTAGGGGTTGTTTCCTTTCAAGTGCGAGAACATTTGCCCCAGAGGCAAGAGCCTGCATACAAATCAGCCGGATCTGTACACTGAATGTGAACTTACAAGTGAGGTTCTGAAACAAGCCTATGAAGTTCAGAAGTGGATGAACAACCAGAATTTTTTAAGGAATCTTTTGCAGCCGATAAACACAAAGAAGAAGATCATCAGCTAACACAAACTGATTTCCTTTATGTGATGTTGTTAGACACATTACTCTTCCTCGTGTCTTATTTTACTACACTATTTCATGATTTTCATGTATTTTTCTATACAAATTGTTTGTTAATTGTTTACTTATATTTTTTTTTCTGTGCAGTATGCGTCCTAAATAAATGGTGAAGTAAATAACTATGATTTTCCAATATAAACTTATTTCTCTTCTTCTTCTTTAAGAGTGGTTGGCACCTTGTGTTGTGGTTTACAGCTAGGCTGCATCATGTACAACATATTTAAGTTCATTGTTAATAGTTTTTTATGACATGCTTGTTAGAGGGCAGTGGGTCTGTTCCGAACACCCCCCCCCCCCCCCCCCCTTTTTTTCGACCCCGTTTCAACTTGGTCCCTGGAACTCACTCAGGGATTCCAATATATACAATTAGTTCTGGCGCTTGTGAATTAATATAGTTACATTCCCTCCTGTTGACGTTTGCTGCCACATTCCAGTTAGACCCGGCTAAAACAAATAATTATAGCATATCCAAGTGAGTTCTTTGCAGCTTGTACATCAGTGAATGTTTTACAATGTTCTATGTGAGTGAATTGTTTTGCAGTTCTTGTGAGATTCTAAATGTTTTAAATTGTTCATATATATAAAAGTTCCTCACCTTTATCGATTACTTTTATTGTTCAAATCACCAAGCACGCCTGTGATAAGTGGAGGGCTGTTTGCTGTACGTCGTGAATACTTTATGGCCATGGGTGGCTACGATCCCCAGTTTAACATATGGGGAGGTGAAAATTTTGAACTCTCATTTAAGGTATGTGCATTGCTTTACCCTTTTACACGTCATTTATGAGATTTTCATTGTGGAAAGACAATTTAATTAGCCAGAATGACTATTTGAATATTCTGCAAAATTTACTCCATAATTTCACCATTTTATAAAGAAGTGCCATCTCTGCAATAGAAGTTGACTGCAATGGATATGGTCATTAACTGCTGTCTTTGTAAATATGATGTTCATTTTTATTCTACTGGTCAACACTATAGCACAGGGGTGATAACCTATAAGTGCTCCATTCTACTTCTAACTCAAGCCTGAGTCTGAAGAATCTCAGCGCAGTGCACCAACTCCGTTGCATCAGAGAGGATCCTGAAATACTTATGGATAGATTTTCAACTAAAAATTTTGCCAGTGCAGCGCTGTTACTCTACTCTTTTTGATTTCCAACTGCCAATGGATTTTTTTTACCTGCACAACAATACACATGGGCGTTTGATCTTACTACCTATAGACCACGGGTTTACTGATTACTGATTTAAGAATCGACATCATAGCACAAAGGGCATACCCATAGATGCTCTGTCTCCATCAGTAAATGGCGTAAGGTGTAGATGCTAACTGTTTCCGTCGCACACTTATTATACATACACCGATCTCTTCCTTTCACAGTCCCTCCTTGCCGGATCCACACTTAATTCTTCGTTCTTTAGCCACTTGGTGTGTCTGGCCATATATTCAAGTACACTTGCTCCTTATTGAAGACAGTGTCATTATTCAGAAAAGTTAGGCTCTACACTTCATGTGCCCATAGCTTTCATTTTAATTTCATTCGATACTCTCTAATTTCTACTGAATCATTTACCTCCAAAGGTAAAAGGCAAAGGTATTATTACTCGATACTGTGAAGTTAACCTTCAAAGACCTGATACAAGGGAAATAAGCAGGGAAAATAAATAATGGTATTGCGGTACTAAGATCTTCCACGCAGTGCAGCTTAAAATAGAAGGACGTAGTGGAACAAACTGTTACATTTACTTAAAAGAAGCTTGTGTGGGAAGTGGAGTTGTGGTGTTATCAAAGTAAAAAAAAAAAAAAAGAACCAGTTGGATTGATAAACTGACAAGATAAAAAAATGCTGGGAAATATACTAGTACTTCACAGACATGTTTTCATTTGAGTAAGGGCTTTTTAACTAAAATTAGTCTGGGGACAACATTTGTTTAAATATGGTCGTCATGGGCCAGAGGCCCAGCCACAGCATAGAAAAATCATTAACTCTTTCAGTTCCAAGCAATGCGTTCTGTGGGAATGAATTTACTTGTTGAATCCCCTCCATAGCATAATGTGCTCACTTACTTTTACCATTTGGTCAAAACATCCTAGAGAAATCGGGCTTTCACCATTGGTCACTACAACTATGTGTTTTGCCAATTTAAAAGTAAAGCTTTTATCATTTGGCATTATGATTATTTCATCACTTTGATATCTCTCATTAAGATTTGATGTAACATCCAGCCAAGATAAAGTGAAATATTCAAGCATTAGATTATGTATTATATTGTATATGTTTTCTTTAATTAAATACAAATATTGTAAAGATCTCTTAAGGGTTTTTAAAAGAGCTAAGAATTTAATGTCTTCTCCTTACTGTTTTTTTATTTTTTTGACTTTTTAATATCTGCAGATCTCTTTGTTCATGATGCAAAAAAAAATATTTTTCTGAACTTCTATACGTCTTTCAATCAAAATCCTAAGACAAAGTATAGTTTCTTCAAAGCCATTACTTAATGGAACTAGATGATAATAATGATGATCTAAATACTAACATGAATATTGAGAATGTATTATATTGGTTGTTTTTCAATACAGACATGGATGTGTGGAGGAAGTGTGGAAATTGTGCCTTGTTCAAGAGTTGGTCATGTTTTCCGTGCGTCACTCCCTTACACTTTCACTGGAGACAGAGAGCAGACGGTACTGAGAAATCTGGCAAGGGTGGCCAGTGTTTGGATGGATGAATACGCTGATATCTTTTATGCTGCTGTGGTAAGTGACAAGATGCTTTAACAGAGGAACAAAGAAGATAGCATAATACGTTTAACACATTTGTGCTTATAATGTATGTTAATAACTCATGAACTGAACTATGTAAACCTTTCTATTAAACATGTATTATAGCAGAGGTTCTCAACCTTCCTAATGCCACAACCCTTTACTACAGTTTTTGATGTTCTGGTTACATCCAACCATAAAATTATTTTCATTGCTACTTCATAACTTTAGTGAATATGCTTTAGTGATTTTACTTCACTGCGGAGGACACGAGTGAGGAGTATTGTCTGGATTTTTTCACCGGGTCACACCGGTGTGTTGGGAAATGACTGGCTGGCTCTGCACAACTTGGTGGAATACTGCTACATGATAGGGTAGACGTGGTTAGTGCCTTGGGGGAGAGCGTGTACAATTCGGAGGAGCAGATGGATCACCCCAGTCTGGTGAGATTGATGCAGCGGGGAGTGACGAGAGGTTCTGGCAGATGCTCGAGGCTCAGAGGAAAGGCAAGACGGACTTTTAATCAGAATGCTACTGGCACCATTAGTATCGGAACTCTTTGCTGGCTTCTGAAGATGGGGATGGAGCGCTTTTGGGAATGCCCCAAGTGTTGTGATGTCGGTTCTTGAATCAAATCAAATCAAATATTAGTCAGTGAATATGTGTTTTTTGATGGTCTTATGCGACCCTTGTAAAAGTGTCGTTTGATTCCCCCCAAAAGGGTTGTGACCCACAGGTTGAGATGTATTATAGTAACATAATAACTCTGTGTTAACTCTCTTCCAGAATCTCCCAGAGGAGTTAGACATTGGAGATACAGCAGACAGAAAACAACTTCGAAAGGATCTCAACTGTTATTCCTTCAAATGGTACCTGGACAATATATTTCCTCAGATGGACATTGTAGCTCGTGACACTGTTTTATATGGCCAGGTAACAAAAGCTTGTGTGTTTTAAATGAATCTTCTCCAGGACTGCAGCCTGTAGGTTAAACATCTCATAGAGGAGAATCTTAGAAAATTTCATAGGTGGAGCTCAGACAGGAGCGAATTCCAGAAAATCAAATTGAATAGTTGTGAACACAAAATGGGTGGATGTGAACAAAGTAACAATTTCATATTTGTTGTAATGTTTCACTGCTTTTGCTGACTCTCGGAAACTCTTTTGATCACAGACAATGGCCAGTGGGTATCTTCTTGCCATCTTGTAGTGTATTCTTTGAATTTTGACATTTCATCAAAGCAAACTTTAAAAAAAAAACTTATCTTTCCTAATGGCCACTTCATTTGTGGGCTTAGTGATGGACACCACATTTTTTTTAAACTGTTATTTTCCTTCCCTTTGGCATCTTCTGTAATTTATCATGACAGAGGTGAAACAGTTTCTCAGAATAACTGATAAAGTTATCAAATGTTTCTACTTAGTGTCAGTTCTTTTGCTATGAAGCTGAAACTAAGATTACCAGACAGATTACCAGTTTATTAAGGAGCGCTGGCTGAGTGGTTACTGCTGTCAGCTATCATCTGGGAGAAAAAATGGGGTTGGGGGTGGATTGTAAAAAATAAATTCTAAACCTGTACATACTGTGGCGACTGCACTAGCCATGCGATCCCAAATCCTCAGGCTCAAGACCCTCAACCCCCCCTTCCTTTTCCATCCCCAATCTCCGTCCAACACCATTCTACAAAGTGGTAAAAACAGGCAGTAAAGTCATTGTTCATTTGTCTACACTATATACTAGTGTTGAGTAATATACATAACTTCTGTTAATTTTCAAAATAGTATATTGTATATTTTTTCTATGGTTTTCAAGTTATTGTAAAGCATTTTTAAACAGTTTAAAACATCATCTATGTTTTCACTGATTAAAATTGTCTAAATGGTATACCTTTATATGAGTATAATATGTATACATCAACATCCGTGGCTTAGGCATTGTGAAGGTGCTTTGTAATGCCGGGGTGCTGGGTTCAATCCCAGCTGTGAACGATTTGACTTCATTGGTTTTAACAGTGGTGCCGAGAGCTGATGGCTCAGAAAGCAATGGCAAACTTCTTCTTCTGTTGTCGTCTCGCTGTTACCAGATTGTAACCCAGTGTTGTGGTTGTTTTGTAGTTGTCTTGCGTTTCTTGGGTAGCTTGAGTGATGGATTTGTTCAACTTTTTGCAGGTTTTATCAACAATATTTATCCATATCTTTCTTGGTCTTCCTCTCACCTTCCTCCCAGATGTTCTACTATAAAAGTCTGGTCTGGCTGCATTCTCACCAGTTGGCCGAACCATTTCATTCTTTTTCTGGCTATAATCCATGACATGGTCATGTTTCAACTTTCCTTGTAATGCTGGTATTTGTAACCTTGTCTTGTCTAGTGTTGTTAGTGACCTTGTGGAGATGGTGCATTTCACATGCAGTTATTTTCTGTTCTAGTGCCATATTCATTGTCCATGTTAGACACTGATAACATAAAGTAGTGATAAAGATGCTATTATTCATATGCTGTTTTGCTGGAAGGGAGACCTATGGGTGTCTAAGCAAACTACTGAATATAAAATTTACCAAGAAAAACCACAACAGCCAAACAATTCTGGGGTTGGTTCTGCAAGGTCCTGTAAAGGATAGGCAACTAATATGTTAGTTCTGCAAGGTCCTGTAAAGGATACGCAACTAACTAATATGTTAGTGCTGCAAGGTCCTGTAAAGGATAGGCAACTAACTAATATGTTAGTTCTGCAAGGTCCTGTAAAGGATACGCAGCTAACTAAAAAAATAGTTCTGCAAGGTCCTGTAAAGGATAGGCAACTAACTAATATGTTAGTTCTGCAAGGTCCTGTAAAGGATAGGCAACTAACTAATATGTTAGTTCTGCAAGGTCCTGTAAAGGATAGGCAACTAACTAATATGTTAGTTCTGCAAGGTCCTGTAAAGGATACACAATTAACTAATTTGTGTATACATAAGTTTTGCTGTGTTTATTTCAGGTGAGAAGTAAGGGGTCCCTGATGTGCTTTGATATCATGAGTTCAGCATATGGGTATTACCTTGGTCTTTCAGCATGCCATGGGGGCAGAAATCAAGTAAGCCATTTTCTTCTTCTTCTTCTTCACTCTCACCGGCTGTAAACTCCAGTGGAAAGTTCTGGTTGTTTTCTGTTTTTTAAACAAAAAGGTTTTGTTCCATAACTGAAATTTTGCATGCACATCCATTTTACATATCTGGCTTTTTTGTGTGCAGATGGTTGGTTCCTCACCTCTCAGACAGATGCACTCCAAATTCAAATGACATACTCCTAATCAATCACCTTTTTAGGGAGCAGTGGGTCTATTCTTTGACCCCTTCCCCCAAAATAGTGTTCCAGAACTCACATGAGGAACTACTGTATACCATATCTTTGGTAACTGTGTCTGTTCATAACCTTCTGTCTCATTTACTGATAATCATTTCTGATACATATATTTTTTCATGCCATATTTCGAAACTGTCCTTCCCCCTCTATTGGTCTCCCCTTGACTTTTTTTCCCAAGCTTTTCTGTAGTCACGACATACTTCAGTTGTGCCCTTCTCATGACGTACCCAAAGAAAATTAATTCTATTCTTACAGTGTGGATAATCATTTCTCATGTTCTTATAAATAACCCATGTCTGTAAAACTGGATGTGCAAGCACATGGAACAAGTTAAAAGTTCAGAAGTGGACTGCCAACCATAACTTTCTGCTAGATTTTACAGCAAGTAAAGTAAAGGACCCTTTTCCACGCCTTAAGGCATACAGGGCATATAGGGCTGGACCTATATTTTATAGACCAATCGGCACAAGATGGGGGATGCCGCCTTTGTTTCCCATGGCTGAACCTGGTACCCACTCAAGGCTGTGTCGACCTGGGAGTCAAGGTCATTTTTGAAAAAGTCCAGCTCCACCAGGAAGCAAACACACGACCTTCCAAACCCCCGCGGGCATCTAGCCACTCTGCCATGGCGACTCCCCTAGAGTTTACAGCTGAGGAACAAAAAGACGTCATGTAAGTTTGGAGAGAACAATAATGGAGGGGTATATGCCTAGGAAGAGAGGAGGAGGAATTCCAAAGAGAAGATGGGTCCAGGATGTGTTTGAGGTGCCTCGGTTGCGGGACATCTTGCTTGTGATCCAGAACCATCTGCTCAAGTCAGGGGTGGATGTCAGAAACCTCTAGTTCTTTTAACAAACGCTTGTCAGAATATATTGTTTACCGGTTCTGTAGAGGCACTAGGAAATCTGTAGATGTCAAAGAGAAAACTAGAACCAAATGTAGAATATTTAACTTCAGTGTCAAATCCATCAAGCTTTTTAGAGTTGAAATATGGAGAACTAAACCAATCACTAATGAAATGTATACTTACATAAAGACAGACTGATAGACAGACAGGCTGGCTGGCCTACTGACTGGATGAATGAATGGATGGATGAAGGGAGAGAGGACAAGAGGGATAGAGAGAGGGAGGGAGAGAAATAAAAATATATTGTTAAAGTAAATCCATAAAAAGCTTATGTTGTCTGTCTACAATAAGTACATTTATGTAGAAACAGTCTGCACAGTCACTTCTATAAATAAGCAGAATTCATGTAAAACACAATAAAACTGTGCAAAGTGATGCCTTATTTTTTCAAGTGTTTCATATTTGTTAAATTATTGTTTAATTTCTGTTTAAGAAGTTAATTACTTCTGTCCACAGACAATTCATCTGACATCCAGCAATCAGCTAAAACAAGGTGAAGCTTGCATTGTACCAGGGATTAACAAACAGTTAGTGCTGGCTCGATGCACTTCAGAAGTCACATGGATATATAAGGTATATAATTTATATGTAATGTAACACAATATAATACATTACACCACAGTACTATACAATACAATACATTTCAATACAACAAAACAGTAAAACCTATTTATATTACAGCATAGTGTATAGCTGCTCTTTTCCTCTGCCTATAACCAAACTTTTACTAGCTCATGGTGAAAA